GCTGACTAGGTGTGGCCATCAGGAAATGGGAAGCAGTGACAGGCGCCACTTTGTTCCCCCTTCTGCAGGACCCCAGCTCATTCACCATGACTGGTTATAGAGGATCCAGGGGAGGGCTCCGAGGGCGGAGCGGGTGGCAGAGCCACTAGAGAGAAGAACCCCAAATGTTCTTGGTGGCTTGGAGGAGGCTTGGAGGAATCAACTTTGTTGGGTTAAGCTGCTGAGATGGGGGTTATTGCTGCAGCGTCGCCTGGCACATCCTGAATAGCACACGATGCAAGAAACTTGAACTTCCAGTGTAGAGATTAAATATTCTTCTAGTAATATATAATATATAATGTTGGTAACCAGGCACGGTGGCTCATGCCTGTAATCCTAGCACTTTGGGAGGCTGAGGCAGGCAGATTGCCTGAGCTCAGGAGTTCAAGATCAGCCTGGGCAACACAGTGAAACCCCATCTCTGCTAAAATACAAAATAAATTAGCCAGGTGTGGTGGTATGTGCCTGTAATCCCAGCTACTTGGGAGCCTGAGGCAGGAGAATTGCTTGAACCCAGGAGGTGGAGGTTTCAGTGAGCCGAGATCATACCACTGCCCTCCAGCCGGGGCAACAGATCGAGATTCTGCCGCTACCAAAAAAAAAAAAAAAAAGATGGATGGATGGGTGGATAATACTGTTTTAAGGACTTTACCTATATTAACTCACTGTTACTTAGAACAGAGCTTTGAAGAGGAGACTATCTCCAAGTTAGACCTGAGGAAACAGAAGTTAAGAAACTTGCCTGAGGTCATGCAACTCGTAGGCAGCCAAGCAAAAATTGTCTCAGGCAGGCTGTGACCCAGCCCTCAACCTAACCACCACCCCACACTGCCTCTCACTCTCAAAATGACTGCCCTTCAGCGTTTAGTGGGCTTGGGGTTATTGGTCCTGGGTAATTTGGAAAGCAGAGCTGGTTACTAACTGATGGGTTGAGCAATGTTTTAAACTCCTGAATTTATAACCGCATATCAGATCTTTTTTGCTCGGGAGTTCTTTCAAACTTTCAAGAACAGATAATTCCGTGCTAACTGATGTGTGCATATGCATGTGCTGCACTGCAATATGAACAGTCATGGGGCTTGTATGTGTCCATGCATGTGTCTGCATGAGATGGGCATGGATGTAAGATGTACCTGAATAGTGGATGGAGAATATGCAGGACATTTGCGTGCATTTGGTGTATGTCTAATGTGTGTGGTGGGCTTGTATGTACATGGTATGCATGCGATGTCTGTATGCACATTTGTGTGTGGTGTGTCATTGCATATGTATGTACATGTGGCATGCATGTGTGCATGGCCATGGTGTACATGTATGTGGTGTGTGTCCATGTGCTATGCATGAGCACGTGTGTGTGTGTGATGTAGGTCTGTAACACGCTGAGTTTGTGTGTTATGTGTGTGCATGCATCTGTGTGTGTTTTGGGTGCTGTGTATGTGTGCGTCTTACATGCATGCTAGCTATACATATGCACACCACATAACATACCTATACACATACAGCTGGCACTTGCCAAGCACACCATGCACAGACATGCGTACGACGTACATAGATGCACAGGGATGCATCATACATGCCACACGCACATCACATGGACACACCTCACCCTTACACACATGCAAAACACACAAGACCACACTGCACACTCTCATACCACCTCCGCACGCACGCTGTCCACACGGGCAGCACCCTGCCCCACCATGCTGGGAGTCAGAGCTGGCCTGCACCCCAGGAGATGGCTGCAGAACTCGAATGTTCGGGAATAAGCACCATTTGTGAGGTTCACCTTCCATCTGAGCACAGCCACCCTGTTTCCAATTCAAAAAGATCACCATGCAGCCATGTGGACTCTGCCTCAACTTCCTCCAGGGAGAATTCTCCAAAATTCTTGATGAGATTCACAATTGCAGAGTCATAGCCTCTGGGACCTGAGCGCAGGAAAGTGTGGTACACGGGAGTGTGTGCCAGTCCTGATCATTTGTCAGGGCGCAGACCAGATGTTGCCTCATCCGGGAAGCCTTTGACCCTAGCTGGACAGGGCGCCCCTGGTCTGCATTCCCCTGGCTCCCCTTTTTCCACTGGTCACATGGCATTCGTAATTTTATACTTTTATGGTTTATAATATAAAGTGGCTAATATTTAATTATAATGTTATGCTTTCCATCTCTGTCTCCCCAAGTGGACCTTAACTCCAGGAAGGCAGACTGTGCCCCATCCTGCTGGCATCCCTGGTGCTCAGCGGAGGGCGTGACAAAGGAACTGCTCTGTTGTTTGTATTCTTGCTGAATGAACACATTGAATTTTAGCATCATGGACCCTGAAAATTAATCTGTGCCTTGTTGCCCACCTTCCAATCCAATGTAAACATGTATATGTATCCCTCCAGGGGGAATTACTACTGGGCAATTTTGGGACCAGCCACGCCTGCCTTCTGGGGCGGGGGGGTCTCAGCCTCGGCCCGGGGTGTGCCTCCTGCTTGGACCAAATGCGTTTGTAGGGGAGGTGTGAGATGGAGAAGTCAGAGGAAGGCGCTTGGCCCTGGGGTGAGTGGGGTTGGTCCCTGGGCCAGCTGTGTGAGCAGCGAGGACAGGCTGCAGGCAGGAGTTAGGGGTGTTCACAATGTCAGGGTCACTGCTGTAGGATCCGGCAATAACTTGAAACCTCAAGGTATGAGGGGCCCTGGCCGTAGACTGGCCCTAGCAGGTGGAGGATGCTGCAGGAAGGGCCTGGCCCATGACAAGGCTAGGGGACCCGGGGCCAGCCGCTTTGGGAGCAAAACCCCAGTGTTTTGACAGCAGGTGTGACCCTGGGCTCTTGGGGTCTCTGTGGGTCGTGGCCACCATCATTGCCGGATGGAATAGAAAACAGGCAGCAGACACTGCATCCCAGGAAGGAGGAAGCCCCTGGGGTGGCACTTGAGTTGTGGTTCTGGGGCTGAAAGTCTTGCTGTTGCAGGTAAGGCCAGAGCCAGTGAGATCTGGAGCAATACTGATGTGGCCCCACTTGGACCATGGGTGTAGCCGGTATTGTCGGCTATTGCCTTAGAAACATATGGGCCTGAGATGGGGATTCTGGTTCAAGCGATTCACTGAGTGGGTACTCTCAGAAGGGAGTCATATCCTCGGAGCAGGGTGGGGCAGGGGGAAGGAACTTAGCAAGGATGGTGTTGCAGCTGGAGACGGCTTCAGGCTGCTCCAGGGACTCAGGTTGTGCATGGGACCTCAGAGTTGGCATCTCGATTATTTGGTCCTTAGCTGTGGGCAGCTCTGGGGGGCAATGACCAGGATGGGGGTGGTGTAGCTTTGAGCTAAGAGCAGTCAACACTCGGGACCTAGGGATGGGCTCTGGCTACAGAGGAGCCCAGGGAGAGGGGACACCAATGTCATCCGCTGCAGTCGGTGCTACAGACCAAACGATTATGTCCTCCCGGAATTGATCATTGGAATCCTAACCCTTGCTGGGCTGGTATTTGGAGGCAGGGTCTTTGAAAGGTGATTGAATGGAGCCCTCAGGATTGGGGTGAATGCTGTTAAAGAAATTCTGGAGAGCGCCGTCCCCTCCAGCCCTGTCATACACAGCGAGAGGATGGACATCCATGAACCAGCAAGTGAACCCTTACCCCTGAGGCTGCCAGCGCCTTGATCTTAGACCTCCCAGTCTCCACAACTGTGAGCAGTGAGTTTGTGTTCCTGCAGGCTACTCGGCCTGTGGCGTTCTGTTAGGGCACCCGAGATGGACTAAGACAGTCACTGTCCTCTCCATGGCCCTGAAATTAGCCTTTTGGCTCTGTTCCCACTCTCTGGGGCCCCAGGACACACCCATGCGACAGACAGTCCCTGAGACCTGCAGGCAGGGCACTTAGGTTCTTCCTGGGACCTCTGAGTGTCCTGTGCAGCCCAGAGGCTGGTCTTGGCGTGTGGACACTTGGAAAGGACTCCTGAGCTCCTGGCACAGCTTCGAGGGTGGCAGCAGGCCTTGCCCAGCACCACCATGCAAGGATGGCATTGTACTAGTCATTGTGGGCCATCTGCGTGACTCCCAGGGTAAGCTCTTTTTGCAAACGTGAAAGCAAGAGTTGAATAGTAAACTGTCTAAGCGGTCATGTTGCTGACAGGCTCTGTGCAGAAGAAGAAATTGTAACCACATGAAGTATTTACGCCAAACATCGAGCTGCTGCCACTGTGGGACGGCAGGGGGTTGGCTGGTTTGGGGTTTTCTTTTTTGTTTTTCCAAAGTGGATTACAAAATGCCCTGGGGTGGGCAAGGAAACAGCACCGCACTCCTGGGCTGTCCTCTGGAAGGAGGGGGTTTACCATGATTGGAGAATGAGAGGCCAGAAGAGCAGTCCTGAATGTGGGGGCTCCTGTGTCCAGGTCCCGGGCCTGGATGGGAGTCGTGGCACCTGCCCCCACCTCAAAATGGCTGCATCACAGGATGCCAAGTTGTAGCTTCCAACCAGGGAATTGGTATCTTTCTAGGTGTAGTTAAAATAGTACCACCATCTAACATCTGCAGGGAAACCTGGTTTAAAGAATCCCCTGTCTAGGATGCTTCCTACGCTCAGGTTTGAAAAAGAAGCCCCTTGGCCTCCTCCCTGGGTCCCCACTGCTCACCTCCACCAGCCTGAGAGGCCTCATAATCCAGAGGATGGTGGGGAGGGCTCGCCACTGTCACCGGCTGATGCAGGTTCCCATGTGGCAGCGCTCCTGCCCACACCCCTTTCCATCAACATAAGAGGTGTACGGGTCTGCAGCACAGTTACTCCTTCAGAGGACAAGACTGAGGTCAGAGTGGGCCCATCACCCACACACAAACCCCCATGGGATGGTAAAGCTCAGGCAAGGCTTCAACTGGAGTCTGTCTGCCCCAAGGGGCTCCATGCTGGGCAAGCCACCATCAAATGCCACTTCGTGGGGGCGCGACCCTGGCTCACCAAGGGCAAGGAGACACAGACTTGTTTTCAGCTTTTCAGAAGTTTTATTATAAAGAGATTTGAGAGAAGCACTGGGCACCAAGACAGACACTCGCCAGGGCCAGAAAACAGCTGCAAACAACGTCAAGGAACCAAACCAAACCCCAAAACCACGCACACGGTAGGAGAAGCTGCAACTCTGTTCTCAGGGTTTCTTCATAAATAGACAAATCGTCGCTGGCAATTTAAAATACATGAATACATGTTTGAAAGGAGAGCAGTGCGGGGGTGGGGGCTCGCGATCGTCCGGTCCTTGCTGAGGATGGCCACACAGGTTGGCGGCCGCTTTTGTGCACGTCTCCCTTAAGATGAAACTTAAAAATGTGCTAAGGGCCATATAAAATGCTTTTTACCTTAAAGGAAACTACTTTTTTCCCCCCCCCACAAGATAATCTTACAGATGTCTTCAGCACAGTTCTAAAACACGTAGTCAACTACTTACACGGAACCAAGAGTTCATAGGTTTCGTCATTTGTTCACACTGGAAAGCCGATGTGCACGTCTATGATGGGGGCCGGCCCCCTGGCCCAAGCATTGGGGGTGGGTGTCCGTTGGTAAGCGACTCCGCCAGGGGCAGTCCCCATGAGCTGGAGCTGGGGCCAGGCATCCAGACATAGGGTACCGTGCGCAGGGCGAGGACAGGGTCCACGGTTACCCTGGAGCAAGCAGGTCAGCAGGCAGAAGGTTCCTGCAGGTTCTTTGGGCTGGCGGCGGGCAGTGGGGCTGTCTCTGCAGAGTCTGGTGGGAGGTCGAGGAAGAGACTCAGCCCCTGGGCAATGGGATCTCTCCGATGGGCCACCCTGCCTCTGGCCAGGGCCTCGTTTCTGCTGTCAGCCCTTCAGGCTCCGAGCAGTGCCTTCCAGCGAGCCTCGGGGATGAGGGGGAGGCGGGATTAGGTGAGGTAGAGCGATTTGTCTCTGGGCAGCAGGCTGTGAGAGAGAGGAGGGGCTGTCAAAGCTGTTAGGCACCTCCCCAGGCCAGGAGAGCACCAGGACCCCTGCCCTGTCCGCACCCCCACCCCCTATCCCCGAGATTCAGCTGCCCTTCTGCAGCTGAATGAGGGACTTGCAGCTGTACCCCCCGCGACCCCCCCACCCCACCCCCATTCTGCACCAGGCAGAACCAAGCCCCTCCTGGAATCCCAGCAGGGAACCACCCAGTCCTCAGCTCTGTGGGAAAGTGCAGCAGTGTGTCTGTCCTTCTTTGAGGTGCACAGTGATGTCACCATTGCTCTCACGTCGGTTTTTAATTACAGGAATTTGTAAATCTCAAACTGAATTAAGGGAGCATAGGTGCTTTCTATGCCTTTAAAGTAGGGCCGTGCTGCGGTCCGACCTTCATGCTGGATGCGACGGGCCAGCCTCGGGAAGCTTGGACATTCTGTGACACTAAAGGCCTCCCTACATACCCCAAGTACTTTGACTTTTGAGAAAGGAAACTTTGGAGACAGGATAAAGGGCCGGGGTAGGAGGGTCTGCACCTGCTTGGGCTGCAGGGAACGATTCTGGCTGAATGGAGTCTGCCTACCCACACTGAATCTCACCCCAGGCGTGTCAGAAATGGGGCGTGCATGGTGGTCACTTGCTCAGTGCCCAAGGACGCTGGCAGGTTGGCAGAGGAATGACCCCTGGGCTGGGAGGCTAAGGCTAGGGCTGGGGGCAGCGGGTCTCGGCAGCAGAGATGGCCACCCGACAAGTGTGCTGTGCCTTCCAGAGTGTGGAGCTATTGCAGGGACAGCTGCTTGGCACTACGTCCCCCAGGTGTGGCTACGTCCCCCAGGTGTGGCTGTGGGACTCGTTTTTGCCAAGGGATTGGGAACCAGGCCGGCGGGTTATGGAGCAAGTCCCCCTCCTCACTCTATCCTCCCTCTCCTGCTGGCCGAAGTGAAAGGTCACTCTTCCCCGGAGTTGGTGTGGCCTGGATCCAGGAAGGCTTTCTAGAGGGAGGCGGTTAGCATGGGTTTGACAGGCAGAGTGCAGAATGGGAACAGAGGCCTGAGTCGGGAGGACGCTGGGGTGCAGGGGGAAGGCATCTCTAAAGCGTCTGTGTAATTCTTTGGGATAGGGCGTGGGTCCCTTCTCCCGCCATGTCTCACCCAGGCCCGCTGTCCTGCATTCTCAGCTATTCCACTCTTGGGGGCTTCCCTGCCCAGCAGGCCCCACTCCCCCAGGCTGACTGATGCAGGGGCTGAAAAACCAGTTCCCTGACCTCCAGGTGGGACCTGCTCAGCACCGTTCATGCTTGGGCGCTCTCGGGATCAGGTGGAAGCAAGTCTCCAGCTGAGGCCACATCTCCGCTCGGCTCCTTCCCAGTCTTGCCTCCCTCACCCCCCTTTCCTGCAAGCTCTCCCCAACACCTTCCCAAGGGCACCCAATCCCTGCTGCCGCAGGCTCTGCTTCTAGAGAACCGCCTAACATGCAGGACTCATTGGTGAATGTCAGGCAGAAGCGTCTGTGGAAAAAAACAGGGAGGAAGCAGAGGCAAGACTGAAGATGAGTCAGTTTCCCCAGTCCACCTTGGCATCAGGCCAGCGGAGTGCTTTCAGGCCTGGCTCTGTGGTGTCATCTCCTGAGGACTCGAGGCATCCCCTCGGCAGGGCTGACAGTGACCACAGGGTTCTGCCCTGTCCATGCTGCCCTCAGCCATGCTCCCATCTGTGGCCATCCTGTTCCCACTCCCCCTGGCCGGCAGGACAAAGGCAGGCACGGGTGAGGACTGACCTGCAGGTGCTGATGCCGCACTCCCCGCTGGGGTAGCTGCTGTCCCAGTCCCCGCTGCTGGTGGGGTTGGATGGGCCGGGGGAGCAGGAGCCCGAGCTGCTGGGGAACTCAGAGAGGTGTGGGAAGTCCTAGAGAGGGGAAGGAGGCCATGAGCCAAGGAGAGAGGAGGGGGCAGACTGTCCCAGGCCGCCCGGGGTGAGGGCCCATGGGTCCCAGGAAGAGACACTGCCTCCGTGTCACCCAGAATCGCCTCTCTGCCTCCAGGGCTGCTGCCTCGCTCCCAGTAGAGCACCTCTCGAAATATGCTTTTCCCTTTCTGAGCCTCTGTAAAATGGAGTTACTGAGCCCAGTGACCTCGGAGGGCCGTGTGAACTTCATAGCAATCTCTGGGAAACAGTTAGCTGGGGTAGGGTCTCGAGGGCTTTGGGGAGGGGCAGGGTTAGGGCTGAGAATGCAGGAAGAGGGGCCTGGAATACCCTGAGCGTCATTCTGGCAACTTGTGAACTGTTCGCTGCAGCCAGCGCGTCTCAGGTAAGGTGTGCCTGCCCCGATTCCTAGATGTGGTAACAGGCTCAGACAGATCAGGTGCCAAGGCTGAGGTTACATCCCTGGTGAGTGGCAGGGCCCAGGTGTGAAATGGCAAAGCCGCTTCCCCTCCCCACATGGTCACAAAAGAGCTGTTCCTGCTTGTCCCTGCTTACCTGTGGCCCGGGAGGTGAGGGGCTCATCGCCAGCTGCACCTGGAGTGCCATGGGGGTGGGCAGGACAGGGGGCTGGGGGGCTGGGGACATGCTAACAGGTGGACTGAGGAGGGCGCCCTGGGCGTGAGGGGGCAGTGACAGCTGCTGGTGCAGTGGGGGGCTGAGCGGGAAGGAGGGTGGTGGCGGTGGGGACGCACTGAGGCCTGGCAGCAGAGACTTGGAGCCCAGGGTCCGGGCGAGGCTGGCCGGGGAGGCCCCGCTGCGGAAGGCCTGCAGGTCTGATGGTGTAAGGAAGGAGGCCAGGCCTGGCATGGCATACATGGGCTGCTTGGGTGGCAGCATTTTGGCTGGTGGGTTTGGCTGACTGCTCTTGGTCTCACTTTGGTCCGGGGAGCTCTGGAAGGAGACAGGTATCAGTCACTGGAGAAGAGAAGAGGGATGAGCCAGAACTTGGGCTATGAGTCCAGACAGCTCTGCAACGCCCCAACATGGCCCCTGGCTGGCTCTCTGGCCCCTCGGGAGAGATCTCGGACCAACCAGAGATAATGCAGGCTCCTTTCTCTCCTTGGCTCCGAACATTCAGCCACCCCCATCTTTTATCTTTGGGGGGCTCCTCTGCCCGTGAAGGCATCCATGCTCCTCAGCTTGGCCAGTAAGACCAGCATCATCCTGCCAGGCTAGCTCTATTCATGCTCCTCCCAACCTCTGTGCCTTTGCAGATGTTCCCTTGACCTTTTTTTTGTTTTTGAGATGGAGTCTTGCTTTGTCATCAGGCTGGAGTGCAGCGGCATGATCTCTGCTCACTGCAATCTCGTGAATCAGTGTTCAAGAGATTCCCCTGCCTCAACCACCTAAGTAGCTGGGACCACAGGCGTATGCCACCATGCCCGGCTAATTTTTTGTATTTAGTAGAGACGGGGGTTCACAATGTTGACCAGGATGGTGTCGATCTCCTGACCTCATGATCCACCTGCCTCGGCCTCCTGGAGTGCTGGGGTTACAGGCGTGAGCCACCGCGCCCGGCCTTACTTGAACTTTTATGGAGCAATTCAGATGCTATCTCCTCTGTAACAGGAGTAACACCCACCTCCACTTGGGCCACGCATCCACAGCCACACACAGAGGAGGCCCACAGTGTGGTGAGGAGGTGCCATATTTTGGGTAGCGTGTCCCAAGCCCCATCAGCGGTCAGAAGTGAAGACCACATAAAACTGGCAAAACTGGGTTTGCATCCTAGTGCGGTTGCTTTAACAAACAATATTTTCAGGCAAGTTGCTTAACCTCTCTGGGTGCTGGGTTCTTGTTGGAAGAATCCAATGAAACGCATGTAAAGTGCCCAGAATGAACCTGGCATATGTAGGTGCCCTCCAGCCATTACCATGCAGGTCTGACCCATCTTTTCTAAGACCTAGGGTGCTGGCCATTCCCATGGGCCCCAGTTCTCACTCCGTCCCTCAGGTGGCTCCACTCTGATCAGGGCTGTGCCTGGAGATTCGGGGTGTTACCTTGGAGACGAGGCTAGCCCGGTAGGCTGCCAGAGCCTTCAGATATTCCTTCTTTGCTGCTTCCGTCTTTCTCTTGTAGGCCTGGAAGAGTCAACACATGAGCAACACTGGGAGAAGGTTATGGAGGAGATGTGGTGCAGGGTCCTGGGGTGGGAAGGCATGGACTCAAGGATTATGAATGGACAAGTGTGGTGGGGTCAGGAGCTGGGTCAGCCAGCCACTGGCCCCTTCCTGGGAGCACTGCAGAGAAATTGTGGAGACCAGGCCCTATCCCAGTTCCTTGGCCAAGTCGCTGTGTGGCTTTGGCCAACATGCTTCACCTCTCTGGGCCTCCAAGTTACATCAGCACAACTTGCCACAGAAAGACAAAGCCCTTTGAAGCCCCCATTCGGATCCAGCATAGGGCAGATTGCTTAAGGCTGAACCTCCTTGTTCACAGTATGTTAGTCTGGATTCGCTTTGCTAATACTTTTTATTAAAAATTTTAGACCTGGGTTTCACGTTATTGGAGGATTGGTCTCAGTTCGTTTGCACCTTGTTTCCATGCCTTTTGTTAGAAACAACTTGGAGCTTAGCCTTGTGTAACTTGTATTGGCCAATAAGACAAGCATAAATGAAGCAGGCAGAGACTGAAAAATGCTCACATGTGGGTGAGCCCCTTTCTACTCTTGGAAATCTTATATAAATTTTGTTTTTGTACATGAATAAGTTCCTGGATGGTGATCTGAGATTTTGGTACACCCATCACCGGAGCAGTGTACACTGTACCTAAGGTGTAGTCTTATCCCCCACCCCTCCCATCCTTTTCCCTGAGTCCCCAACGTCCACTGTATTATTCTAATGCCTTTGTGTCTTCATAGCTTAGCTCCCGTTTGTGAGTGAGATCATACAATGCTTGGTTTTCCATTCCTGAGTTACTTCTGTTAGAATAATAGTCTCCAATTCCATCCAGGTTGCTTGAATGCCATTATTTCATTCCTTTTTATGGCTGAGTAGTATTCCATGGCATGCACACATATATATACCACATTTTTTTAATCCACTCATTGACTGATGGGCATTTGGGCTGGTTCCATATTTTTGCAATTGCGAATTGGGCAGCTACAAAAGTGTGTGCAAGTATCTTTTTTGTAAAATTCCTTTTCCTCTGGGTGGATACCCAGGAGTGGGATTGCTGGATCAAATAGGTCTACTTTTAGTTCTTTGAGGAATCTCCACCCTGTTTTTCACAGGGGATGTACTAGCTTACATTCCCACAAACAGTGTAAAAGTGTTCGCTTTTCATCACATCCATGCCAACATCTATTATTTTTTGATTTTTTGTTTATGGACATTCAGGTGTAAGGTGGTTTTGACTTGCATCTCCCTGATCATAATGACGTTGATTATTTTTTAATACATTTGTTGGCCATTTGTATATTTTCCGTTGAGAATTGTCTATTCCTTTCCTTAGCCCATGTTTTGATGGGATTCCTTTTTTTTTTTTTTTTTTTTTTCCTTGTTGATTTGAGTTCCTTTCTAGATCCTGGATATTAGTCTTTTGACAGAAATATAGATTGTGAAGATTTTCTCCCACTCTGTGGGCTGTTTCCTCTGCCGGTTATTTCTTTTGCTGTGCAGAAGCTTTTTAGTTTAAGTCCCATCTATTTATCTTTGTTTTTGTTGCATTTGCTTTTGGGTTCTTTGATCATGAAGTCTTTGCCTAAGCCAATGTCTAGAAGGGTTTTTCCAGTGTTACCTTGTAGAATTTTTAGGGTTTCAGGTCTTAGATTTAAGTCTTTGATCCATTTTGAGTTGACTTTTGTATAAGGTGAGAGACAAGGATCCAGTTTCACTCTTCTACATGTGGCTTGCCAATTATCCCAGCACCATTTTTTGAATAAGAAGTCCTTTCCCCATTTTATATTTTTGTTTGCTTTGTCGAAGATCACTTTGCTGTAAGTATTCGGCTTTATTTCCAGGTTCTGTATTCTTTTCCATTGGTATATATACCTATTTTTATATCAGTAGCATTCTGTTTTGGTGACTATGGCCTTATACTTTGAAGTCGGGTAATGTGATGCCTCCAGATTTGTTCTTTTTGCTTAGTCTTGCATTGGCTATGAGGGCTCTTTTCCGGTTCTATATGAACTTTAGGATTTTTTTTTCTAGTTCTGTGAAGAATAATGGTATTTTGATGGGAATTGCATTGAATTTATAGATTGCTTTTGGCAGTGTGGTCATTTTCACACTATTGATTCTACCCATCCATGAGCATGAAATGTGTTTCCATTGATTTCATCTATGATTTCTTTCAGCATGTTTTGTAGTTTTCCTTATAGAGGTCTTCCACCTCCTTGGTTAGGTATATTCCTAAATATTTTATTTTTTTGCAGTAAAAGGGATTGAGTTCTTGATGTGATTCTCAGCTTGGTCGCTGTTGGTATACAGCAGAGCTATTGATTTGTGCACATTAATTTTGTATCCTGAAACTTTGCTGAATTCATTTACCAGTTCTAGGAGCTTTTTGGATGAGTCTTTAGGGTTTTCTAGGAATATGATCATGTCATCAGCAAAGCAACAGTTTGACTTCCTCTTTACTGATTGGGATGTCCTTTATTTCTTTCTCTTGTCTGCTCTGGGGCTAGGACTTCCAGTACTACATTGGATAAAAGTAGTGACAGTGGGCATCCTTGTCTTGTTCCAGTTCTCAGGGGGAATGCTTTCAACTTTTCCCCATGCAGTATAGTGTTGGCTCTGGATTCATCATAGATGGCTTTTATTACCTTAAGGTATGTCCCTTTTATGCCGATTTTGCTGAGGGTTTTAATCATAAAGCGATGCTGAATTTTGTCAAATGACTTTTCCGTGTCTATTGAGATCATATAGTTTTTAATTCTGTTTATGTAGTGTATCACATTTATTGACTTGTGTATGTTAAACCATTCCTGCATCCCTGGTATGAAACCCACTTGCTCATGGTGGATTATGTTTGATACGCCATTGAATTTGGTTAGCTAGTATTGTGCAAGAATTTTTGCATCCAAGTTCATCTAGATATATAATCATGTCATCAGTAAACAGTGCCAGTTTGACCTTCTCTTTACTGATTCAGATGTTCTTTCTTTCTCATGTCTGATTGTCCTGGGTAGGACTACCAATACTCTGTTGAATAGAAGTGGTGAGAGTGGGCATCCTTGTCTTGTTCCAGTTCTCAGGGGGAATGCTTTTAATTTTTCCCCATTCAGTATAATGTTAGCTCTGGGTTTATCATAGATGGCTTTTATTACCTTAAGGTATGTCCCTTCTATGCTGATTTTGGGCCTAGAAGGAATATTGGCGTGTTGCTTTCTTTTTGTTATGTCCTCTCCTGCTTTGGGTATTAGGGTGATACTGGCTTCAGAGAATGATTTAGGAATCTAAATCATTTTTATTTATTTTGTGGAATTATACTTTATACTTTATACTTTATTTTGTGGAATAGTGTCCTTTAAAAGTCTGATAGAATTCAGCTCAGTATCCATCTAGTCCTGGACTTTTTTTTGTTGGTAACTTTTTAATTACCATTTCAATCTCACTACTTGTTACTGGTCTGTTCAGAGCTTCCATTTCTTCCTGGTTTAATCTAGGATGGTTGTATATTTCCAGGAATTTATCCATCTCCTCTAGGTTTTCTAGTTTATGTACATAAAGGTGTTCATAGTAGCCTTGATCTTTTGTATTTCTGTGGTATTATCTCGTGTTTTGTTTCTAATTGAGCTTAATTGGATCTTCTCTCTTTTTTTGGTTAATCTCACTAATGGTCTATCAATTTTATCTTTTCAAAGAACCAGCTTTCTGCTTTATTTCTTTTGTATTTTTGTTTATTTCAGTTTCATTTGGTTCTGCTCTGATCTTGGTCATTTTTTTTCTTCTGCTGGGTTTGAGTTTGGTGTGTTCTTTTTCTCTAGTTCCTTGAGGTGTGACTTAGATTGTCTATTTGTGCTCTTTCAGACTTTTTGATGTAGGCATTTCATGCTATAAGCTTTCCTCTTGGCACCACTTTTGCTATATCCCAGAAGTTTTGATAGGTAATGTTTGTATTATCGTGCAGTCCAGAGAATTTTATAATATCCATCTTGATTTCATTGTTGACCCAACAACCATTCAGGAGCAGGTTATTTAATTTCCATGTATTTGTATTGTTTTGAGGGTTTCTTTTGGAGTTGATTTCCAGTTTTATTCCACTGGGGTTTGAGGGATACTTGATATAATTTCTGTTTTCTTAAATTTGTTGAGACTTGTTTTGTGACCTATCATATGGTCTATCTTGGAAAATGTTCCATGTACTAATGAATAGAAGGTATATTCTGCAGTTGTTGGGTAGAATGTTCTGTAATATCTGTTAAATCCATTTGCTGTAGGGTATAGTTTAAGTTTGTTGTTTCTTTGTTGACTTTGTCTTGATGACTTGTCTAGTGCCGTCAGTGGATTATTGAAGTCTTCCACTATGTTACAATACTGTCTATCTCATTTTGTAGGTCTAGTAGTAATTTGTTTTATAAATTTGGGAGATCCAGTGTTAGATGCATATAAATTTAGCATTGTGATATTTTCCTGTTGGACTAGTCCTTTTATCATTATATAATGTCCTCTTTGTCTTTTTAAACTGCTGTTGCTTTAAAGTTTGTTTGGTCTGATATAAGAATAGCTACTCCTCCTCACTTTTGCTATCTATTGTCTATTTACATGGAATCTTTTCCCACCCCTTTACCTTAAGTTTATGTGAGTCCTTAAGTGTCAGGTGAGTCTCTTGAAGACAGCAGATACTTGGTTGGTGAATTCTTACTCATTCTGCCATTCTGTATTTTTAAGTGGAGGATTTAGGCCATTTACAGTCAATGTTGGTATTGAGACGTGAGGTACTATTCTTCTATTCATTGTGCTATTTGTTGCCCAAATACCTTGTGGTTTTTAAAAAATTGTGTTATTACTTTAGAGGTCCTGTGAGATTTATTATTTAAGGAGATCCCATTTTGGTGTATTTCAAGAATTTGTCTCAAGATTGAGCTCCTTTTACTAGTTCTTGTAGTGCTGGCTTGGCAGTGGCAAATTCTCTCAGCATGGGTTTGAAAAAATAATATTTTTCCTTCATTTATGAAGCTTAGTTTTGCTGGATATAAAATTCTTGGCTGATAATTGTTTAAGGAGGCTAAAAATAGGACCCCAATCCCTTCTAGCTTATAAGGTTTCTGCTGAGAAATCTGCTGTTAATCTGATAAATTTTCCTTTATAGGTTACCCGATGCTTTTGTCTCACAGATCTTAAGATTCTTTCTTTCATCTTGACTTTAGATAACCTGACTATGTCCTGAGGTGAAGGTATTTTTGTGAAAAATTTCCTAGGTGTTCTTTGAGCTTCATGTATTTGGATATCTAGATCTCTAGCAAGGCCGGGGAAGTTTTCCTCGATTATTCCCTCAAATATGTTTTCCAAACTTTCAGATTTCTCTTCTTCCTTGGGAACACCAGTTATTCTTAGATTTGGTCATTTAGCATAATTCTAACTTCTTGGAGGCTTTGCTCATTTGTTAAAATTCTTTGTCTTTGTTGAATTGGGTTAATTTGAAAGCTTTGCCTTAGAGCTCTGAAGTTCTTTCTTCTACTCGTTCAATTCTATGGCTGAGATTTTCCCAGTGTATTTTGCCTTTCTCTAAGCGTGTCCTTCATTTCCAGAAGTTGTGATTGTTTTTATTTATGCTATTTCACTGGAGATGTTTCCATTCGTATCCTGAATATTTTTTTAAGTCGGCCCTCACTTTTCTCTGGTGCTTCCTTGATTAGCTTAACAGTCAGCCTTCTGAATTATTTTTCTGGCAATTCAGAGATTCCATCTTGGTTTGGATCCACTGCTGGTGAGCTAGTGTGATCTTTTGTGGGTGTTAAATAACCTTGTTTTATCATATTACCAGAATTATTTTGCTGGTTCCTGCTCATTTGGGTAAACTATGTCAGAGGGAAGATCTGGGACTCACAGGCTGCTGCCCCTTGGGGTGCTCTCCCCCTTCCCCTAGGGATGTGGTTTCCTGAGAGCCCTACTGCAGTGATTGTTATTCCTCTTCTGGATCTAGTCATGCAGCCGAGCTTCCGGGCTAGTACTGGGGAGTGTCTGCAGAGAGTCCTGTGATGTGAGCTGTCTTCAGGTCTCTCCTCCATGGGTATCAATAGCTGCTCTGGTGGAGGTAGCAGGGGAGTGAAGTGGACTCCATGAAGATCCTTGGTTATATTTTTGTTAAGTGTGCTGGTTTTGTGTTGGTCAGCCCTCAGCCAGGAGGTGGCACTTTCAAGAGCACATCAGCTGCAATAGTATAGGGAGGGTACAAGCTTGCCCTTGTGTCAGGCGGTGGGCAGGGCCATAGAGGTCCCAAGAGATTCTGTCCTTTGTCTTTGGCTACCAGGGCAGGCAGAGAAAGACCATCGGGTAGGGGGAGGGTTGGGAGTGTCTGAGCTCAGACTCTCCTTAGGCAGGGCTTGCTGCAGATGCTGTAGGGGGTGTGGATCCCAGGGGGATTGTGGCTGCCTCTGCTGGATCACACATGTCGCCAGGGAAGTGGGGGAAAGTTGGCAGCCACAGGAGGGTCTCACTCCCACCGTGCACCCCCAACACTACCAAGTTTATTTCTAGGCAGCCAGTGAGCAGGACTGAGAACTTGCCCCAGGCTACAGGCCTCCCAGCTGAGAAAGCAAGCCGACTCACAGTTCCTGGGCTGTCCCAGAGAGCCTGCAGCAGCAATCCACCTCCTTCAAAGGGTCTGTGGATTCTTCTACCTTTCCTGGTATGTTCCTGGGGTAGTTGTTGGAGCAGAAGTTCACCATGTGAGTGTCCACATGCTGCTCTATGTATCCACGTGGGAGCTGCAAGTTAGTTCTGCCTCCTTTCCGCCATTTTTCTAGATCTAAAACTGCTCTTGGAACTCTGACTTGCTGTGTGAATAAGCATGAGCTAGTTTGCTGAATGATGAGAGACACACTGGGCTCAGTTTGGCTCCACTGCTCCAGCTGACAGCCATGCAACTCCCAGAAGCAGAGATGCCTAATTTACTGTAGTTGATCACTGATGCAAATGCATGAGTCCAGCCAAGAGCAGCAGCAGAGTCCAGCACAGTTCATGGACCCTCAAAATAATAAACGATTATTGTTTTAAGCCATTAAATTTTTGGTATTGTTTATGACACATTCAAAATTAAATGATACAGTTAACTTCATTATGATTTAGTGTCAAGGTTACATTCTGTATAAAGACTTGTGAAGGTTTTCTTCTTTTTCTAAGTCTTGGAATTATTAGCTCTTTGATGATTTGAAAGAACTTTCCTATCCATCACCTAGACTTGAAACTTTTGGGGAAGAGGCAAGGGTTTTTTAATTTCCTATAATTTTCTCAACACTACCTCTCTTGGTTATTAGTATTAATTATTAGTACAATAAAAATATGTCACATTTCAAAATGTGATTTCAGAATGAGGTCAGAGAAAGCATTGGTGGAAGGAGTGCCTGGGGACGGAGCACTTGAGACCACTGTCTCCCCAGACTGTCTATAAAAGGGAAAGGAAATCCCCCCACCAAAAACTCTGAAGTCTTTGTAGGAAAGGGAATGGTTGCCAACAAAACATACAAATGAAAACAACAAACATTACTGTAGCAAAAGCCGGCAGTGCCCTGCCAATGTTCCGCAGTCCTTACCCCTGTCTGTCTTTCTTTGCCTGAGGGTCCCTCTGGTGGCAGGAGCCTGGCATGTGTGGCAGGCCAGAGGTGATGGAGAAGGAGTGCTGGTGTCCTTCCTTCCACCCCAGGATCACTGCCCCTCAGATGGGATGCCCCTGAGGTCTGGCACGTTCTATGTGGGCTCCTGAGTTCTGAGCAGGATTGCAACTCTGGTTCCCCATGGTGGATTCTCCTGGGACAGTGTGCCCTTTCCTGGATTCCTTTCCTTGTCTCACTTCGCTACTCCCCTACCAGATGTGGGGGTCATCTCCCAAACTCTCTGCCCTATAACATATTCCAAAATAACCTAAAATTTTAGAATATGGTAAAGAATATGTTTCAAATAAGTCAGTAATCCATTGCTCTGCCCCAAGCCTGCTACTTTGCCCATATTTCCAATCCAGTGAATGGCATCTCCATTTACTCAGATGCAAGGAGTCTCCCAGGATGTGCTCTGGGTCCCCTACCCCAAACCACACTGGAAGATGCTCCAGGCCCCACCCTCCCCCACCTGGATGACTGTGCACCCTCCACAGCCACTCTTACCTGCCTTAGGCTGCCGTTCTGGTCTCTCCTCTGCATAAAGCTCTTCACTGATTTTCTCTCCTCTTAGAACAGGACCTGACTCCTTCCAAGGTCCACAAAGCCCAGCGTGGTCTGGCCCCTGCCCTCCTTTCCAGCACGGTCTCTGCTAGAGGGACTTTTACTGTCTCCTCTCTGGCCACCCTGGTCTCCTTTCAGTCCCCTGTGCTTTTCCAGTCTCCTTTGCTTACCAGGCCTCCCTGCCAGGAACACTTCCCCTCCTCCAAAGAGAACTCACTCTTCAGGCCTCACCTGGAGATCTGACCCCTCGGACAGGGTCTGTCACTGCTCTTTTCACTCTCATGAACTATGTACACCCCGGTACATGGCACAATCACAACTGTAATTTTACATTTACTCATCTGCTTATACGATTCGTGTCTCTCATGCCAACAGCCCAGTTGAGCCTCCTGCTTCTACAGATGTGAGGTCAAATCCTGAATCTACCTTGATTCATGCTGGTGACCCTGGGAAAAGTCACTTTACCTCTCGGTGTCTCTACCAAACCAGGAAAGCAAGGGCTACTCCACAGGGTGTCGGAAGGATCCAGTGAAATACTGAAGGGAGAGCCCAGCACAGAGCTCAGCCAGGATCTGAGCTCAGAGAATGAGTAGCCAGCATCCCTGATTTAGAGATATGGAGAGCGAGGCTCGGAGATTGAGGTGGTGAGCTTGGGGCCACACAGCTGACAACTGTATTTGCCTACCAGCTAGTTCTGCGCTCTCTTCTCCCTGGAGGCCTTTAGAGGCGGCCACAGGCACATGGTCAGTGGGACAGGAAGCCCTGGCCTGAACTCGACTTCTAGGGTTGAAGGGACCAGGTGGATGGAGATGACTGCTCTCATTTTACCAGTGGGGAAGCAGAGGTTCAGAATGGTAAAGCTGCTAGTAAATGCAGATGGTAAGTAGTAGAATTGGAAGGCAGCTAGCTTCCCAGTTTACAGATGGGCAACCTGAGCCCAGGAAAGGCCTCTGCAAGAGTCGCTAGTCCCAGGGGCTGGGCCTGGTTTCAGACCTTCACAGTCTGTCCTTGGCTCCAGGACCACAAAGCCTCAGGGGATGGCCCAGGAAGAGATGGAGGCTCACCTGCTTCTGCTCCTCTCCCAGGCTGTCCCACATGGAGGCCACGATTTTGGACACATCACCGAAAGTGGCACTGGGGTTCTGTCCCTTGATGGCAGCCTGAGTGTCTCTGAAGAAGAGCGCGTAGGCCGACACGGGCTTCTGCGGCTCATTGGGGTCCTTCTTTTTCTTCTTCTTTGGGTTCTTGGCCTTTTTTCCTGGGTCAGCTGAAGGTCTCTTTTCTCCCGAGATCTGCCCGAATGAGAAGAGTCAGAAACCAAAGAAGCGCAAGGGCCACCTGCCAAAGGCGTTCAATTCTCCAGCCCTGCTCACACACGCATAACCACTCGCTAGGTGGGGGAGGCAATGGGCAGACACACACACACCCTGGGTGTTTAACTCATCAAAGAGAAGCAGCATGATTGTAAACTTGATTGAGAGAAACACAGGAGGAGAAGACGACTTTATGGTCACCGAAAGAATTGAAAGAATGCTGGAATTAGATGACTAAATCACACATAAAGCAGGTTAGTGCCCAATAGAGCGCTAAAACTACCCCCTTTGGGACTTTTAATCTTTTCTACTGGACAGAAATTTGCATCTCTACAGGGCAAAGTTAATTTGCCTTATAATCAGACAAAAATCACTTACATCCCTTATCATTTTTTTCCCCCAAGGTAACATCATCTTTTACAGAGTTGTAAAATCCCCTAATCAATAATGAACAATGAATCAAAGCTAAGGTCCAGTTTCCTAGAGAATCAGATAATTCTCGAGTGAGCCTGGTAGCCATGCTTTGGTATGACATTGAAAGAGGACCTATTTCCAAGTTTGGAATGTGTGTATATATACATTTCTAATGCCTTCCCACTTGTGATCACAAATAATCCCCAAAGAGGATCCCGCACTACACAAGGTTGGTCTCCGCCGCCATGTTTCAGCTCTGCAGTTTCGAGCAGGTGGCTCAGTCCCTGGACCCCTGTGAAGTGGGGAAAGGATGAGGCTAACGTGACTGTTATTGGGTCAGCCCTGGAGCCAGTGGCTTCACCCTGGACAGACTGCAGGACCATGATCCTGTGAACACGTGACTTAGGGCTTCCAGGACAAGGTGGTAGAAGGAATGGGATGGTGACATCTTGAACTGATAAGAAAGCCACGGGCCAGTAGACATGATTCTGTTCCTGAAGCTTTCTCTGCAGCCACCCCCTTCTCCAAGCCCCAGTTGCGTTAGCACCGTGGTGCGGCCCGAGCAAGATATGGGATAAAGAGGCATGTCACCATCGATAAAGTCCTGAGCAGGCAGGGGGTGGAGGGCACACACGCTGGACTGCCCCTGCAGCCACCTGGGTTTTACTTCTGGTTTCCCCCCTTACTAGTTGTGTGACACTGGATACATTACTTAACCTCTCTGTGCCTCAGTGTCCCCATCTGCCAAGCAGAGATAATATCAGTCCCTGCCCCATAGGGCTTTTATGAAGATTACATGGACGAAGACGTGTTATGTGCTTGGACCAGCGTCTGGCCCATAGGGAATGCTGGTTAAATAAAAACCGTCCCTGCATGGACTATAATAGAGGCCAGGTTATCCTTAGGATGACGCTGGGCCAGGATCCGGACGTAAACCCCAAAGTCCAGGGTAACTGCCCCAGGCCTCTGCAAGGCCACCACATGGAAAGGACGCTGGCTCGACAGAGGTAGGAGGCACAGAGGGAAGTAAGTCTTGATTCCACCACTAGCTTGCTGGGAGGTCCCGGGCAAACACCTGTGTCTTTGCCTTTCAGGGCCTCTGTTTTCCTCCCTGGTAAAACAAGGTGTTCTCTCACCGGGCAGCAGATTTGGAGTCAATGCAATGAAGGGGCTCTCATCCCCACCATGTTTTGAAGAGGCCAAACCACTTGACTCCAGAAATGTTGGGGGGATGTGCATTCCCAGTGGAGGGATCTTTTGTGCACCCCACCCTCAAGGTCAGTGAATATTCCAGGCCCAGAGGTGCCGTCTGCTGGACCACACATTTTTGTCAGAATAGTTTCTCCAAAAAGGGCCAAATGGCCATAAATGTGACCCCGGTGACCTTGCTGAAGCCATCCACACCTCTGAAATCGCCCACTGGCCTTCAGGAGTCAGGCTTTGCCAGCTTCCACAGCATTTTCTCACCCCGCCCCCTCCACATTTGCTGACGTTTTCTCTGCTTTACACATAAGGCCGTGGGAGCCCAGAGGGGACACAGCTTGTCAAGGATACTCAGCACACTGAGCAGCCAAAGCCCAATGTCCCAAGGCCCCTATGGGTGCCATCCCCCTGACCAGCTGCTCCACCTGCCAATGGGCTTTTTCCTTGGCTTCTGCTGTGGCCTGACTGTCTTAACAGAAACCCACTGAGGTTGGTGGTGGACATCCTAACTGCCACCAGGAACACATAGCACCTACAGGGCCTTGGGACATTGGACTTTATGGTCTTTACTAGAGGGAGGGGATGCCCATTTCCCCACAGGACCCCATCACTGCCGACAGGAGCGCAGCTTCAGGCTCTCTTCCTCCCCCACACATACCTTGAAATGCGCCTCCGACTCCTCCTCCTGAGTGGAGCTGGAGGGAGAGGGTGTCGCTGACTTGCTCCCCGGGGGTGACGGGGAGCTGTGGGTGATGCCGCTCCGGATGCCCATCTGCGAGATGAGCTGGGACTGGCTGAGGGCACTCATGTGGCTGGCCAGCATTGCCGGGCGGCCCAGCAGGGCCCCGGGCCGACCTGAGTCGTAGGCGGCCACCTCCGAGTGGACCATCTCCTGGATCTAAGAGAGGAGGACAGGGGCTCTGAGTTAGGAAGGATCTGTCCATCACACCTGTGCTAGCAGACTTAGAGGAGGGAATGCAGAGGAGACGTGATGGGTGCAACTCCCGCTCCAATCCCCGACAGGTGAATCTCAAGGTGGAGCCCCACACTACTTGGAACTCTGCATGATTTGGTGCATTCGTGGGAAAACGGCAGCTCCTCGGCTGAGTGCCGTTCTACTGCCATTCACACTGCACAGACGCTATGGATTTCAGCCCCTGCTAGAGAGCTCAGTCCAGTTGTGATGGATCATCAGATGAGACAGTCTTCCCTCCTGGAATGTGATACATCTCTGCATGAATTGACCAGTCACCGTGATAGCAAAGCACACAGACCTGGACGCTAACTTCATTTTGAATCCTGGTCCTGCTACCTCTACCAGTTGGGTGACTTTGGCCAAGTTACCTAACCTCTTTGTGCCTTGGTTTCTTCATCTGTAAGATGTGGATATGAGAAAACTTATACTCTAGGGTTCTTAAAGATCAAATGTACCTGGCAGACAGTAAGCCCTATATTGTAGAAGCATGTGCTAGATACATTGAATAAATACATTTCTTGATAAAGTTGAGCACTTTTCTTTCTACAGGTCAGTAATTTTGTTATTAACTCCATTCCCTGTGCTATGTTCTAAGCGGTTACTTCTGGAATATAAGAAAGCTACTGGTTTTTTTTCTAACACTAAACATACATTTAGAATAGTACTCTTGACCTAAATATATATACACACCCTGTTCAGCGGACATACTAGTTTGCATACTTTTCCGATTTTTATTTCCTCTGCCTCTGTAGTTACTTCCCCTTTCTAATATCTAATATCAAATATCTGTGTTTTTCTCTCATCTTTTCTTCATTCGGAAAGCAAATGGGTTTTCAGGTTTATGTGGGCTGTTTCTTTTCTCCTCAAAAGAATCCACTCTCAAGTTGATCACTTCTGCTTCTGTTTTCTAGTCCTTTAACATCTCGTTTTCTCTTTAGCCATCCCTATGTTTGCATTTTAAAGATTTATAATTGCTGCTTCCTCCTCAATAGTTGAGTCGTATTTTATTTTTTAATTGACACATGACAAATTGTGTATGTTTATGTGTATTATATGATGTTTTGATGCATGTATACACTGTGGAATAATTAAGTCAAGCTAATTAACATATTCATCACCTCACATAGCATTGCTTAGATGAGAACATTTAAAATCTACTTTCTTGTTTGATCCAAGAGTTGTTCAAGAAGAGTTCTGGAATACCATTTAACCCAGCAATCCCATTACTGGGTATATACCCAGAGAAGTAGAAATCATTCTATAAAGATTTATAAAGAAATCATTCTATAAAGATTTATAAAGAACATTCATGCACAAGTATGTTCATTGCAGCACCATTCACAATAGCAAAGACACGGAATCAACCCAGATACCCATCAATGATAGACTGGATAAAGAAAATATGTTACATATACACCACGGAATACTATGCAGCCATAAAAAGGAATGAGATCATGTCCTTCGCAGAGACATGGATGGAGCTGGAAGCCATTATCCTGAGCAAACTAACGCAGGAACAAAAAAACCAAACACTGCATGTTCTCACTTATAAGTGGGAGCTGAACAATGTGAACACTTAGACACAGTGAGGGGAACAACACACACTGGGGCCTGTTGGGTGACAGGAGGGAGAGCAACAAGAAAAATGCTAATGCATGATGCGTTTAATACCTAGGTGATGCGTTGCTAGGTACAGCACACCGCCACGGCACACATTTACCTTGTAACAAACCTGCACATCCTGCACATATACCCTGGAACTTACATTAAAAAGAGAGGCTAAAAAAATAAAATTGGAGAAAAGAAGTAAAATTTCAGAAAAATTGGAGGCAATCTGGATAAGCCTGTGTAAGATTAAAGAGCCAAAAAGGTAAGGAATCTAAATAATACTGATGGAATGGATAAATATCCATTCTTGAAATGCTAAGTGGCTATTTTTTGTTTTGTTTTGCTTGGCTACAATTTCTAGTAACAAAAGTGATCAAAGAATGGGGTCTGTACTATTCACAAGTTTGAGATTTTGTTAAAGTTTTCTTTGGGACCCAAATGTGATTAAATTGTATACATATTCCACGGTCCTTACAAAGAACAGGCTGTGTTTGCAGATGAATACAGCAGTATATTATCTATCATTCCGTCAGTGATTACTTAGATTCCTTACCTTTTTGGCTCTTTAATCTTACACAGGCTTGTCCAGATTGCCTCCAATTTTCCTGCTTCCATAAAAAAAAAACCTCCCTTTAATGCTTAAAGTGTTTGTTTTGGAAATTTGATGTCGGTTTTGTTTTGTGTTGTTTTGTTTTTGAGATGGAGTCTTGCTGTGTTGCCCAGACTGGAGTACAGTGGTGTGATCAAGGCTCACTGCAACCTCTGCCTCCCAGGTTCAAGAGATTCTCCTGGTTCAGCCTCCCAAGTAGCTGGGACTACAGGTGGCGCCACCATGCCCAGCTAATTTTCACATTTTTAATAGAGACGGGGTTTCCCCACATTGGCCAGGCTGGTCTCAAACGCCTGATCTCAAGTGATCTGCCCACCTCGGCCTCCCAAAGTGCTGTGATTACAGGCATGAGCCGCCACGCCCGGCCCTGATGTTGGTTTTTATTGCAAAAAGAAGACGGGCAATTATATCTTCTTTATAGATGAATCATTATTAAGTATCTTTTTTGTCTCATTTTTTGCCTTGAATTCAGTGGAGTTTGATGTTAATAATGCTGTCCTTGCCTGTATGTTTGTTTGAATGTGTCTGGCATGTCTTTTTTTTAATTACATATCTCTTAGTTTTTATTTTTTTAGGATTACTTTTATCAAATGTTGGTGTTATTATGATCAACTTTCGAAAATGCACTTTTTCCTTATGTCCTGGAACAGTATAAACAACATATAAATTACATCTTCCTTAGAGAATGAAACAGCTTAAACAGAAAACCATCTGAGGCCCAGTGCTTTTTGTTTTCACAGTATCCTTCATGGTTAATAGGTCTATTTTAGTTTCCATTTTCTCTTGAGTTAGTTTTGGTAAATTTTATATATATGTATACTTTAAAAAATATATAATTATTCATTTTATCCAGATACTAACACATGCTAGCATGTAACTGGATATTATATTTTTAATATACTCTGTGGTTTTCATCAATTCCCATTCAAAATTGTAATATTGTGAATAGATGTTGCTTTTTAAAATTTTCCTTCTCAAAAGTTTATATATTTATTTTTATGTTTTTGAGACAGAGTCTTTCTCTGTCGCCCACGCTGGAGTGCAGTGATGCAATCTCAACTCACTGCAGCCTCCGTCTCCTGGATTCAAGCGATTTTCCTGCCTCAGCCTCCTGAGTAGGTGGGATTACAGGTGAATGCCACCACACCTGGCTACTTTTGTATTTTTAGAAGAGACGGGGTTTTGCCATGTTGGCCAAGCTGGTCCCAAACTCCTGACCTCAACTGATCCACCCGCCTCAGCCTCCCAAAGTGCTGGGATTATAGGCATGAGCCATCGCACCAGGCCAAAAGTTGATATATTTCAACTGTCTAGCTCAAGAACCAGCTCTTATATTTTTAAAAATCAGTTTGACAACTTTTATGATCATTCATTAACTTCTGCTTTCTTCTCTATTAATGTTGACTTGAGGTATCATATATTGCTTTTTACACAGGTTTTCATATTAAGCTATTTTCACGTTTTCTTCTTTAGTAATAGAAACACCTAGGACAGGAGTTCAGATGAGCAATTTTACCATGGAGGGGCATTTATCTGAAGACATTTTTGGTTCTGTCAACTGGAGGTTGGGAAGCTACTGGCATCTGGTGGGGGGTGGCCTGGGATGTCCACACTAAACAAAGAATTATGCATCCCAAAATGGCAGCGGTGCTGAGGTTGAGAAACCCGGCTCTATAATTACGATTTTTCTCCTGAAAAATGTAGCTACATCAAACAAATAAAAAAAAAAAATTCTATACTGATGATTTTTCTTTCTTACCCTAAAATTATTTGAAAGAGTGTCTTTAAATGTATCCTTTTGTTACCATGATCACAGACCATGACTCCTAGAATTTTATCTTTTTGGAATGTATTGAGGTTTTCATTATAGCTTAGGATATGAACAATTTGTTTTTCCTTTTTTAAAACTTTTAGGTTCAAGAGTACATATGAAGATTTGTTATACAGACAAATTGCATGTCACAGGTTTGGTGTACAAACTATTTTGTCACCCAAGTATGATCAATTTTTGCAATATTGTTCATGTATATCGGAAATAATACCATATATGGTACAAATATTTCCGTATTTCTATTCAATAAACAGTTTTGACTGACTAGGTGTAAAATCTCAAAAGAATTGGCTTATTTCACTTAGCATAAGGTCCTCAAGATTCATCCATGTGGTAGCTGAATTGGAACTTTCTTCCCTTTTTAGGGCTGAACAATCCACCCGTGCATGTACAGACTACATTTACCTTAGCCATTCATCCGCTGGTAGGCACTTGGTTGGGCATTATGAAGAATACTGATAGGAAATTGGGTACACTCGTATATTTTGGAGACTCTGCTTCCAATTCTCTTGAGTAGACACTCAGAATTGCAACTGCTGTATCCTATAGTAATTCTGTTTTTTAGTTTTTGAGAAACCACTACAGGTATTGATCGACTTACCACCTATGCAACTTACGACCATTCGACTTTACGACCACAATCTCTAGCCACGACTGCTCCGCGTCTGGCAGCGCAAACGTTGCCCAGCTGGGTGTACGACAGTGCGGACCAGCTTCCGGCAGCACTACCGTCTCCACGTGCACCATTTCAGCTGTACATATAACCTACTCAACTTACGACCAAATCGTGTTACGACCGGTCCGCGGTCCCGACCGTGGTCGAGCACTAGCTGTATACTGTTTCCATAAAGCCTGCCATTCCTATTGAGTTCC